GATTTTGATTATTTTTCAGAGTTTCTAAAAAACTGGTTTTCTAGAAAACTGGGTCTTCAAGGGTCATTGGCATGAACCCTTTAAGGCTTTTTACTATCCCGATACCCTCTATCGATCGACGGATGAACCATTGAAAAAGGAGTGTTACAGTAGAATGGTGTTCCTCGTCAGTCGACTTTCGAATCTTTCCGAAGGGTAGCTGGCATCTAGTCTACTATAGCCTTTATCCTGTCAAGCACTGTAGCATATATTCACTCTGAAATTAATCATGTGACGATTAATTGTCTGATAGAAAAATCGATAAAGTTGTTGTGTAAAAAATAAACTCATTTTGTGACACTTATTATCGATAAATAAAGCAAATATCCGAAAACTAACCTCAGCTGTGTCATCTACATGTCCTCTACTTTCGAATCATCTTTTCCCGTAATGTGTATGATCAGCGAGAACGAGTGTCGAACGAGAAAACAGTGTGAAAAGAAAGAAGAATTTTTCTGGGTGAAAAACAATCAGTCTCAGTCTCCTTTCGTTTCACTCAGTCGACTTAAAAAGACGTTTGAGCAATAGGAAACTAGCACATTAGTGATATCTAACGTGTGTCTTTTAAACGGGTTACAAAACTGCGTTATTTTTAGCACATAAAAAGGCAGGACAAGAACATTTTTTCCTGCCCTGCATCCTGACCTGCAGGGCCAGCCTATAACTTTTTCCTAGTTTGGCTGCCTTCAGGGCAAGACAGGACAGGACGCTCCAGCATCAATAAATAATTTTTCTTCTCATTGCGAATTTCCGAAAAATACACTGATGCAAAACGTAATTCTTCACAGATATTTTTTTCAGAGGGCGCAGTTGTCCCGTGACTTAGATCATGTACGTTCACTACCAGTGGATAAGATCAAAGAGAATGAAAATTTTCTCGTCTGTTTCTCTTTTTTTCTATATTATTAGCTAGTGCATGAGATGGATAGAAAATTGCACCTAAACCTCATTCCATGTTCATAGGAACAGATAGAAAGCGACATCTTGTATAATACAACTTTTACAAACACAGCATTTTTTGCGGTTAATAAAACTAGTGAATGATTGTTCTTAGTCGCTCTAATCTTATGTTTCCACATTTCATCATGCGCGTGCATCAGCAAATGAGGAAATTGTTCGTCTCAGGAAACATGGCGGCAGTTTGGAACTATCCCATGGCCCTTTGGCACCAAAGATAGTTTCGCCCATGGAATACACCATCAACAAGTTTAACGTTACTTCTCATCACACCTTTTGGATATCCTGCTCATGCTTTTTAAAAGCCTATACTCTTTTTCTGGAGGACTACACTATACTATCTACTATGTAACTAATTGTTCTTATATCTCTTTTTTTCATCAGTGTTTTTCCGTTTGTTTACCAACAATTGTATCTAATTAGCGTTCCTATCTCTGTTGTTTATTCTGTTCGCTGTCTTGGTGGTCTTGTTTCGCACGATCTTAAGTGGAATGAACATACCAGAGACATTGTGCTTCCCTTTCGGCGCATGCTGGAAGCATCGAGCCATATCTTTGGATTGGCTCCACCGGAGGTTCGGCGTCGGATCTTTCTTTCTTCTATTCTTTCTAAGTTTGATCATTGTTGTGCCTTTTCTGACCCTTCCTTTTCTCTTTCAGATCTTGATTCTGCGAACAGACTCGCTTCGCGTGTTATTTCTCGCAATTTTGACTATTGTTCGTCTAGCTCGTTACTTGTGTCTCAAATGTCTCTTGTAAATCTTTCTCTTCATCCGTCTCATTACCCTTTCCCACGTTATGATCATTCGAAATACGTTCGTATTCTACCTCTTGTAAACGGATTTTTTCTACAGTTTTTTATTCAACTATCGCTGATTGAAATAATCTTCCAGAATCGGTTATCGGTTTTTCTTCTCGGTTTTCGTTCAAAAATGTATTATCAAAATAACTTTCACAGGAGTTTTCAACCACGCTCTTAGTCAGCTCTGCGGATGTTATTTTTTATTTGTTTTATTTCCATTCTCTTCTACTTTATATCGGTTCTCTGTTTCCTGATTTTCCGATTTTGTTTTCTATGCATAGCTTCAACCTCTACTGTTTTGCTCGAACTATTGTTATTTCAGATCGGGGACCTTTGATGACTCTCACCTCTCGCGAATAAACTTAACTTAATTTAACTATAATTAAAAGACAGTAATGTATTATGTTGGACTTTATAATTGAACAGTTCAGGAGTTCTAGTTCGCTTCATAAGACCTCCTTCAGCTTTCTATGGTCTCCAGTCTTTTTACGAAGTAGAACGAAAGGAAAGTGAATTATAGAGATGGGTTGCAAGAGTGCGTGTATCGTCGATTCAGTTTGCAAAAGGATAAGTTTAAGTTAATTTTGTTTTTTCTGAGATGTTGTGAAATATGAAGCTGTAAATCGACATGATGTTGTATGTCTTCTTCTATATACATTTTAGTTTATTTGTAGATGAATAATTTATTTAATCTGCCGTTTGCTTTTTCCATTAATCCAGCATCTGTGAAACACTTGCTTCTTCATCGCAAAAATGTTCATAATCACGGCGAGGATAAATGGACTGAGAAAGCCATTCGAGGTTTAATTAAACGTTTAACAAAATCATCGATGGTAGACGATTTAGAGATAGCTTTAGATACAAAAAGTTCACAAACAAAATGTGTTACAATACCAAGGTAAGAATAGCAGAAAACAGTTATTCAAAGAAAGATGAGTTGGGCAGAACAATGTTATTTTCCTAAGATTAGTTAAGATAAGACGTTCACATTTTCGATAGCGTAAATCTGTTGTTGTTCTGAAGTGGAAATCATTTTCTTACTTTCATCTTTCTAAACTCTCCAGTGACATTGTTTTTCGAAGCATTTTTTTATTATTCTGTTGGAAACATTGCAATTGATCTTGTTGTTTCATGCAAGATCGATTAAACTCGTTTCCGAACATAAAACCTTCTTTAGCTTACAACCCTTTTTTGGTATTAGCGAAGAAGGGACGGAATATAAAGAAAACAAAACCAGTTTTTTATTTAGAAAAAGGAGATCATTAGAAGTAACATTATTTGTTGCATAACCACAGTCCTTGCACATCATGCAAACTCCGAAGATTAAATTGACTTTTGCAGCTGACTACAAGTGTTCTATTATTTCGTGTTGCTCCTCAAGCCTTATTTTATCTTTTTTAAGAGATCGTTGTTGTTTTGTCGACAGAACTACTTCATCTATTTAGTTTGCTGACTTTATTTATTCTTTAGAGATACACAAGGAAAATTGTTGCAGGCAAACACATTAACGGGTACCAATAAACACTTTCCAGATGTAACACCGGCGGTAGCATTCTGTCGTATATGGCGTTGGCCGGATTTAAATACTCACTTGGAATTGAAGCCATGTGAAACGTGTGCATACGCCTTTCAAAGTGGTCAAGATTTGATTTGTGTGAATCCTTACCATTATGACAGAATTTGTACGCCAGGTAAGTAACAGCTCGAACGATAACTATTCTTTGTAGTCAACTATGGAGATATGTGCCAGTTATATAACTAGCATTAGAGCTATCAAGTAAACTATTATAACTCATTTACTAAGAATAGCTCAGAGTTGCAGAATGTCATACCCTGTAGAGAAATATTCGGATTACGATTTCGTCGAGATAAATTTTAAACGCAATTATGACAAAAACTTTCCTGAATCGTTCAATTGTATTCCTTTACCTTTTACATTTGCTCTTCCAAATAAGATGTTTTCCAGCTCTGCAGGATAAATTTCAAAAAAATTATGATGATTTTGAAGCTCAAAGGGATGGAAAAAGACTGTTCCATAACTAATTAACACCTACTACGGAGCGATGAAATGTTTATTCTTTGATCTAGTTCATCCAGAACTCACACTCCAGTTATTCTGGAGCGCTGTTAATTTCTGAAAATCGGACTGAATTGTGGCATTTTCTTGTTTTTTAGCTTTGCCTCCTGTTTATGTACCTGTCTCTGATCGTGCCGTATTCGATTCTAATTCAGTATCACTTCCGAATGAGACAAATTTTATGCCTCATCCAGATTCAACAGTCGGCATGGATGGTAATCAAGTTTACTTTCAAGAAACATCGTTTTGTTATGTTTTTGCTTGTTTAAGTTACACCACCTATGAACCAGATGAATAGTCCATTGAATGCACAAGACAATTACGAAGCCATGACACCAACACAGGCCTCAGTTGCAGCAGCACAGGCTGCATTGCAACAAGAGACCCAAAATTATGGAGCAGGTAATAGCAATTTCAGTGATAGGTGGTCACTTTATCATCGACAAATTTTCTTATTCATGATATTTTTATAGCTTCCAACGGTGTTGCTAATATGAATCCACAGCCAATTAATTTTGTTGAACCACCATTTTGGTGTTCAATTTTGTACTATGAATTGAATCAGCGTGTGGGAGAAGTATTTCAAGCATCGTTGAACTCATTCGTTGTCGATGGTTACTGTGATCCGAATGCATCGGATCGATTCTGTCTCGGATTATTAACAAATGTTAATCGAACAACGGAAATTGAAGCTTGTCGACGAATGATTGGTACCGGTGTGAGACTGTATTATATTGGTGGTGAAGTATTTGCTGAATGTTTATCTGATACACCCATATTTGTGCAAAGTCCAAGCTGCAATCGACGTTATGGTGTGTTCGTTTACCACGCTCTATCTCCATAATAATACTCTTTTTTTTATCTTGTTGTAGGTTGGCATCCAGCTACAGTTTGTAAAATTCCACCAGGTATGCTCATCATATCTTTTCTCTTGTGTTATCAGCGATCGCATCTGATGAATTTACAGATCTTGAAGTTTCAACTTAAAAAAGGGGGGTTTCATAAACATAGATAACGACTCTTGTTGCTATTTTGAATATTATTAAACAACTGTATTTTAGCTCACTTGTTCTTTTTTACTGCTATTGTCGTTCTATTTAGGTTGTAATTTGAAAATATTTAACAATAGTGAATTTGCTCAATTATTAAGTGAAACTGTTCCACAAGGTTTCGAAAGTGTTTATCAGCTGACACGAATATGTTCAATTAGAATGAGTTTTGTTAAAGGATGGGGAGAGGAATATAGGTAAGACATATGTAACAGGCAAGCACAAGCTGAATAAATAAAACTCCACCATACATCTGTAACTATCCTCAACATTGTTCATTGTTTCTTTTACTGTTTAGACGTCGTACAATAATGAGTACACCATGCTGGATTGAAATCCATTTGAATGGTCCACTGCAATGGCTTGATCGTGTTTTACAGTCATTAAATCCACCTGGACCTGTGTCAAGCAAGTAACCGATTGTGTGACAAAAGGCCTTCTTTGTTTTATAACGCGCTCGCGCATATGTGTGCCATTTTCTTCTTACTGGCTGTCAGATATTAACTTGTGTTGTTTTGCTGAAACGAAAGGACAAGAGAGAAAGAGAGGAAATATATTTATTTTGAACATGTAATTCTGTTGTCTTTATCGCTTTTAGTTTTTTGTAATCGTTGGCTAGTTTTATGTATTTTTTTGAAACATTTTCATTCTTTATCTATCTGTGTTTTTTATCGTAATTAAGTGCCATTTTTTTCTTAATCGCTGATGTTTTACGCGGCATTTATCGTCGTTTTCTTCTTCCTCTATTTGCTCCACTATAATCTCTTTTCAATCTTTTTTCATATTGTATAAATATGTAAATGGTTAATAAAAAAATATTTTTTGCAATTCTCATTTATTTTATTTAAAATTCGATTGTTTTTATATTTTGTGATGTTTACCTACGATTTGAGGACGCATGTCATCCAGTTTCTATCTTTTAGCCAGTTTAAAGTAGAGAGATCAATCCTTATCCATTTAGGACATATGTAGCCAGACATGGTCTTTTAAATGTCTTCAGTCTGACGACGGAACCGCACCAACTGATTAAAATCTTTTGGACTCATATTTTGCCCATAAGTGGGACTCCGTGGGCCTAGAAAACGTCCAAAAGGATTTGTCTTCATAGATTCGGTTGAGATACGAACATTTCGTGTTTGCGATGAAAAGCATGCGTACGTAGCTTGTTGCGCTTGAATTACAAGACTGAACCATTTCAAAAGCTAAAATTGTTTACGCATAAGATTCCACTTTTATGGGTCATCCAGAGAGTGAGATGTGAAACTGTTGCAAAATTCCTGTCATTTTATTTCCCTGATGAACCGACTTCTGTAGAAAAAGAGCATTAAGTATTAATATCTTACTGTCACATATACTAAGCTGTCATGCATGCACCACAAAAAATGTATAACTCGTTCTCTAACTGTTCTAGTGTTTTCAGTTTGCGTTGTCTATGAATTAATCAAGACTAAAGGATTTTAGAACTCTATACATCAGTCTCAGGATGACCCATAAAAGTGGAACCTTATACGTAAAACATTCCTAATTATGAGTATTTTTAATAAGAATTTTGGCTTTTGAAATGATTCAGTCTTGTGATTAAAGTGCAACAAGCTACGTACGCATGCTTCTCATCGCAAATATAAAATGTTCGTATCTCAACTAACTTTCTAGGCCCATCGAGTCCTACTTATATGAACCAAAAAACTTTTCATCGGTTGGTGGGTTTCTCTCGTGAGTGTATATTTTTAAATGGACAAAAATTTGAATTCACTACGGTATTGAACTTTCAGAAAACCAACTGAACGCGTTTTTATAGACAGAAAAATTAGTGCAATCGAACAAGAAAACTTTGAACTCTATCACAGCATGCGTTCTTGCAAAAATCGATATTTTTGATGGGGCATAATTGAGAGCGAAAGCATTAAATAGACGCTTTGCAATTATGGTTCATCATTCATTATCAAGTTAAGGATTTCTCTGTATTAAAAATTAGTGATGATTTATCTAAAAAATAACTCACTTTCCTTGTATTTTTATGGTGCATCTTTATGTTGTGTTTTGTTGATTTTTAATTCCTAGTTGTGAGAAGTGTAATATGAGAAGTTCATAGATTGTTTAGACGTTAGAAAGTCATTTTTGTTGTTGAATCAACATGTGTCTTCGTTTGATCATACACGCGCTACCGTTCTCGAATTCTGATTGCAAAAACAGTGTCCTATTTACTCTGACCTCTGAGCTGTTTCTTTCTTAAAAGTGAACGATAGGTCATGTTTCTTTATTATTAGAAAACTAACGACAATTTTGTTTTTCGTTTTTTATTTCAGATATTGGCCTAACAGTAGTTCAGTAACACCTTTTAATCTGATCAATAGATTTGTTGACACCAGCTGCTAATAAATCTACTTATGCTTTTTTCCAGACATCACGATTCCGATGATTAGCCATTTCCTTCGATATCTTTTCATCTTTTAACAAATTTAGCAGCAAGTTTGTTTCGTCCTCAGACCACCACGATCTTTTCATCTGCGTTTTATTCTCTTAACTCAGCTTAGTCATTTTTAATAGAAAATTTTTTGTTAAAAATACTATTGTTATAAAATTATTATTACTTAATTATTTATTAATCTGTAAAAGAGTATAGTAACGCCAGAAAAATTCTTCAGTAGGCAAAACAACATTCAGCTGATTAGTTATTGCAGTTGAACAAAATACAAGCGCCACCATCATGGTCCTTTTTCCGATAGACATGATTAAAGTTACTCGCGATTAAAGCTAATCATCTTTCGAACATAATTATCTTTACTCACGATTTTCAAAATAATCGTGAGTAAAGTAGCGGTTACACTACTAGTTTAATCACAATTAAAGATAATCATGATTATTTGCGTAGTGTAACCGTAAGTGTAACTCATACTCATCTATCGAAGTCTATATTTAACAGAGAGAGAGAAAATTTATACTAACTAGAAAAGTAATAGATAATTAAACATTAAGCGAAATAATAACATCATCAGAAATACGTGTAAGATAAAGTAATAAATAGTAGTCATTTCTGGGTGAAGATCTTAAACTGGACGTTACTTGTCACTTCAGGCATTCTTTTGATTCATCGTTTTTAAGTTATGCTTCTTATCTATGATAACACATGTTTAGTCATCGAGTTCAAGGAAAAATCTAACTGAAAATCATTTTTTTTTTTATTACTCTTGTAGACTAAAACTTCAACTGTTCTTATGTTTTTATGCTTATTTTAGATTTATCTGCGTCTCTGTGCGCAATTGTCGTTGTTATCTGAACACATTTAATTTGACGATTTGATTTCATACAATGTGGGTTGATCCACCATCTGTCGATGTTTCTCCGTCTCTTTTAACACGTCCACAACAACAATGTTTTCCATCGCCTCATTTTACAATTCCATTTCCACCTCCTCTTGTTTGTTCTTCAACTCTGCAACCATCATTTTCAATATCTAATTCTATTGTTGCACCCAAAACTCTTTCATTTGTTTATCAGCCAGGTGTGGGTTTATATGATAAAAAATTAGCCGTACAACAAGAGTCAAAAGATGAAGATTTTAGAATATCGATAATTGGATCACCACTACATACCATCGAAACAACAACGGGAGATGTTGATGAAAGATTCAATATACGAAATGAAAGTGAAATGAGTTTAGAGATTAAAACCAACTTTGTAAGTTTTGTTTTAGATTTTACTATCAAGAATAATAACAAAACATTTTCTATTTTTTCAAATTTAGACCGATGATAGTGTAATGAGTACTAGTCTTATGGGATCTTCACCTAATATGACATTTGAATCTGATACGGATCATCGTTGGGAAGTTGCTCCTTTATCTTCAATTAGTGTTCAACAACAACCGACAATAAAAACTACAACAATTTCATCATCACATCCAAATTATTATAAATCATGTTTAAGACGTCAAAATGAACAGCAACATATTCCAACTCTTCATTTGTCTCGCATTCCAGAAACAATTCTTGGACAACAAACATCTCCTCGTTCTTCATCAATAATTGTTCCTGTTAGTCCACCATCATCGATTCACACTCAACTTTCAACTACATCTCAACAATTGTTTATTGACGATGAGGAATTTAATGAAACACCGCCATCATCGCCGAGAGTCAAAAATTCAATATTGATCAAACGAAAATCAAATGAATCATATGATTCTTCACCCCAATCTTATATGACCAATCTCGATAAGTAAGCAAAACTTTATTTTTATTTTCTTCATAGCGATAGTTTGATGTTTACTCTTTTATCAGGCATATTGAATCTTCTCAATCTGAACAAAAACGTTCTCCACCGTCTGCCACATTCGATACAACGTCAGATATGCCCACGAATTCTTCATCGAATACACATTATCATCAACATCATCACCATCATCATGTTCAAATGTTTAATATTCAAAATTCAAGCATAAATATATCAACAGAAGAAAATAATTTACAATCTGTAGTCAATCTCAATACATCATCATCACAAGAGCAGACAACTACGGAACAATCTTCGACAAATAATAATTATGAATGGAATAAACAAGAAATGCAAAATGGCAGGTATTTTCAGCAAACTACACCTCGGTTAACAGACTAAATTATGTTTTTTAGAAAATGTGATTCGCTCTGACGAGGGAACCATCCGGGATTATAAACTGATTTCGGGTTGGGACTATTTTTGTTAGAAAGACCCTAAAGAGTAGTGAAATACCCCAACTCGGTTCATTCCCATGGTGCTTTGTTGCTGAGATACTGAATTTTTAGTCAGTTTTTGCCTATACAACTTGGATTTCGAGCAAAATCCGACTTTCGAA